GGGCGGCGGTGGGGCCGGGCCGGAACAGGCCTAGCTTGGCCCTGGCCCCTGCGGCGGTTTCCAGCCGCGCCGCGGAGTCCGGCGCGTTCGGCTGGTGGCACGGTACGCCCCGGGGCTGCGCCGAGCCAAGTCGAAGCGGTTGGGCGTCAGAGGCCGTCTCCGCCGGCGGGACTCGGGAAGCCAAACCCGTCCTCCTGCGGCCCCTCTGATACTTATGTACAGAAAAAAACGGTTTAACACTAAAACCTAGGACCGTGAGGGTCAAACTGGCGTGTGAAGGTTTGCAGCAGGCTCCTGACACTGTCGTGTTGAGCCTCTGCCAGTGAAGCAGGCGCAGACGAAGAGACGCTGTGCTGGATGTGCTTCCGCCAGGGCAGGTGCTAGAGTCGCCGCCCCGGTCACAGAAGCAGCCTGCTCTCACTGTCCCCTTCGTTCTCGTAGGCAACCGTTACTTGGAGAGAAGCAGCACTCTATTTAATTTACATTGCTGCAATAACAGTGCCCTCTCTCTTGGTGCTCTGCTTTGTCAGTTTTCTTATGTGGTGTCTTTTCTTGGCTGACACCTGTCATCACCCCATGCTGAGAGGACTGAGGAACACACAATACTTGCTCTGTTTGCACAGTCTCTCACAGTGCCATGTTCAGAAGTTTTACCGCTGCAGCTGCACAAGTGGGAGCATGTGGACAGATGTGGAAGAAAGTCCTTCAGACTGCCCTGAATTAGAAATTCCTATGCAGAACTGTATACCATCAGCTGACCCTGCAATTTACTGTGTGTAACAATCCATTGTAACACAGTATGTAAATGTTGGGGTTTTTCCAGTCATGGTGGGTTGACCCTCGTCAGCAGGTAAACACACAGCCTCCAGCTCACCCCCCACCCCCCCCCCTAAGAAACCTCATTGGTTGAGTTAAAAGAGAGTTTAGTAAGTGAATGAAAGAAAAAAAAAAAAAAAGATGCAAGGGAAGTAACTCACCACCTCCCACAAGCAGACCAATGCCCAGCCAGTCTTTGAGCAATTGTCTACCCTGGAAGACAAATCCTTCCCACTTTCTTATTCTGCTACTCCAGTTTTATTGCTGAGCATGATGTTATATGGTATGGAATATCCCTTTGGCTAGTTCGGGTCTGCTGTCCTGGCTGTTCCCCCTCCCAACTTCTTCCACCCCCGGCTTACTCGCTAAGGGAGCAGAGCATGAGAAAGAGAAAGCCTTGACACTGTGCAAATACTGTTCAGTAATGACCATTGCTGTATTACCAGTGCTGTTTTAGTCACAGAATGTGAAACACAGCAGCATATGGATTGCTATGAAGAAAATCAACTCCATCTCAGCCAGACCTAGTATGTTAGTTTTAAAAAAGAATTCAAATCCAAACAGAATAGGCAAGGCTTTTAGGCCAGGGGAGGACAAACAAGATACCCCATCACCTTTCCAGACAACACAATCAGCTTCAAGCTTTAAGTAGTAAAGCTGCTGAGACTGATCATTTGCCAGGCGTTCATTCTTAGTTTTGACATAGGGAAATTAATCCTTTTAGCTCCTGTCAGTGTTCAGAGTGAATCTTGCTGCTCTGCCTTATTAGCTAGCTACAATGTCAGCTAAGTAACAACCTTAGCTGCGAATCATGGTCTAGAATGGGCTTCAAGTAAGTTCGTTCAAAGCAAAATAATGGCAGTCAACTGTCATGGTTTAGGCCCATCCGGCAGCCAAACACCACACAGCCACTTGCTTACCATCTCTGACCCCAGGTGATGGGGGAGAGGATTTGAGGGATAAAGGTAAGAAGACTCATAGGTTGAGATAAAACCAATTTAATAATTGAAATAAAATAATAATTATAATAACAATGATAATAATAATAATAGAATGAGTTATTCATTATGTGATTTCTTACCACCCGCCAACCAATGCCCAGCACATTCCTGGCTAGTGATCCCAGAGAAGACAAAAGTCCTGAAACAGTAATCCTGGAAGAGAGCAAGCTTCCCCACTGACCCTTATCTGTACTAAGCATGACATTACATGATATGAAGTATTTCACTGGCCAATTTGGGTCTGTTGTTCTGGCTGCACTCTCTCCCAGCTTCTTGTGCACCTGCACACTAGCAGGACATGGAAAGTTGAAAAGTCCTTGATTGTTATACCACATTCTTATACCAAATCCCATACTGAATCCAAAACATGGCACTATTCTAGCTACTAAGACGAAAAATTAGCTCTAACCCAGCCGAAACCAGGGCATCGATGCAGAGCCACTTACTATACTAGAAATGCAATTACAGAGCTCACCTACATCTATGCTTTGTTTTCCTTGTTGAGACCTAGACTGTTCCTTCCCTTCCAAATAGAAAGAGACTCAGTGACTGAGCATCTCCTTCTCTTCAGCTTGCACTATAGAATCACATCTACTTAAATCCTTGTAGCAATGACTATCCTGCTGAGAGGATGTCTTCCTTTTTGCTTTCAGATTAAATGCAGGTACAATCTACTCCCGGTTTTGATACTTCAGAGTGGTGTGTTGCTGAAGAGAAGCTGATTTAAATCTTGATCTTTAATATAACATCTTTTTCCATGGTCTATCATAGTATCTACTTAAAATAAACCCAAATAATTACAATACTATATTTGAAGGCTTTTTGAAATGCTACAGCCAATACCATCATATCCAAGAAGCTTCTCCCCTTTTTTTTCCAAAATTGTCATAAACATTTTCAAGTCACCACAAAATCCAGCCCAGATTCAGGGCTGAACCAGAACTGTGAGGGAGGTGCCAGACACCACATCTGTCCTTGGGCCCTGTTGCAGAACTGTTTTTTATGCAGGCCTCCTTCATGAAGTTCTAATCACTGCTATACAATTATGAATCTATCTAAGTGGTAGTTTTAAAAAAAGTATTGTTAGCTACCATTACTGAACTTTACATGTAAAGAAGTCTCTCAGCTATGTGATGTTATATGATAGCATTCAGCTACCTGTTTGCTTCGGAGCCAAGATCTACCTAAAAGAAGAAATTATGCCAAAAAAACTGAGTATAAAACCATAATTTCGAATTAGTCATCTTAAAATTTTCACTAATCTGGTTCAAAACCGCCCCCTTTAAAACACTAAATAAATTACCTTCAAAATCCTTCTTTATCAGTGGGTTGGTGTTTAAACTTATTCTGCATAACCACTCTTAACATCAGAGTACATCTTCAAAATTTTCCCCAACATCATAAATAGCATTTAGTGCTTTTAGTCCCTCTTTATGCAGAACACTGAACAATCAGCAATAAACTTCTTTTAAAATGTTTTGGTCTCACACTCTAAGACTGTTTTGCCTTCAAGAAGAGTTTTCCCATGGTAACATTCATAACGCTCATATATGTTAGCAATATATATAGCCTAGTAGTCAAATTTATTTTTTAAAATAAATATATGGGTCTATAAATCCTTAGGAAAAGGCTATCTAGTTAAAAAAAGCTTAATGTTGCTAATTTGTGTTTACTTGATAGTTTTTATTTAGGCTTCCAAAGTATGTTTGGCATTCTCTTAAAGTAGGTCCTTTTGGACTTCTCTGGCTAGTGAGGCCACTTAAACACTGGGCAATTTTAAATGCTAAAACAGAACCATTTTTTACACTGCAAATTAAGATGTGATTGCAGCAAATGAGGGTATGTAGATAACTAAGATCACACACTCCACTACCCATACCACTATTGTCTATGGTCTGCTGCCATCTCACCAGTTTTTTTGCCACACTGTTAGTCAGTGCAGTTTGGGAATTAGATGCTGCTGTATGCTGCATTGCTACATCGGGTACTGTGCCCCAGTTACTCTGTTTCAGTTAGCCATTCTGTGCTCATTGCTGTACACTACAGGGAACTCCTCAAGAACACAGCTTCCCTTCTGGCCCTTTCCTTGTGCCTTGTGGGCACTTCAGTGATTAAAGAAAGCCCAAGCTCTTAGGAACACAGTCCAGGCACTCCTCACTACACTACAGGTCTGCTCTCCAGCTGCAAAGCTACTCTACCACCACTGGTGGAATTGAGTTGGTATCAGCGTTTGGGTTGCTGCAGTGTCCTTTCATCCCAGCCTCAGCTGAACATACCTC